ATCAAGGACTTCATCCCTGTCCTCCCGGGTCGTTACCAACCACATAGCACATGGAAAGAAACATTGGCGGCGAGGGAGAAAGCATTGAGAAACCAACATATGAGGGCTGCTGAACGTTGGATGGAACACACAAAGCGACTTCCACCCCTTGTAGTTGGTAACCACGTCAGGATCCAGAACCAAACTGGCCCTAGCCCACTGAAATGGGATAAAACTGGACGGGTGATAGAGGTCCGCCAACACGACCAGTACGTGGTGCATGTCGACGGGTCAGGACGAGTTACAGTCCGCAATAGGAAGTTCCTGCGGATGTATACCCCGGTACACCTGCACCCGCCACGTACCAGTATCATTGATGACATCAGCAAGCATGCATCTAGATGGCCAGGTCAAAGCCATGGGAACCTCCATAAGCCAGTGAACATGGAGCAGGTGGCACCTCAGAGTCATCACCAACCACCATCAGTACCCCCGGAACCCGCTACTCCTCATCCAGAGTGTCATCGCTCACCCTTCCAAATGACCAGGCCATGGTCCCCGGATTCCCATCAGCAGCTTCGACCGACTTCCGATGAGACAATCATTACACCCGCTAGGCCTCGACAATCGCCTGGAGGTCCACATCGCAACCAGCAACTATCTCCCCGGGCATCACCCAAGAAGCCTAGTACACAGCCGGACACATGTACAGTGACGCTGCCAGACAATCCTACTGCACTGACCAGAACCACGACACGCGTCAGACGACGATCTGCCTGGCAGACATCGGGCGACTATGATATGACAAAATAGTGTCGTGTTTGTGACAGACACATAAACCTTACTTGTTAATTTTTTTTGGACAAGTGCTCCTAATCAAACATCCAGTTATTCACCACAAGTATATGGTAAAGACATCACTCTGAAAATTTATGCTTTCGTTTTATACAGGGCCGTAGTGGCCTCCCAAAAAGTGCCATTGCAGAAATATGTAGCTAATGCTGGGGGGAGGCTGGGGGTACTCCCCCAGAAACATTTTGAAATGTAGAGCCTGGAAATGGCATTTCCTGCATTTTCAGGCTATGTTGAAAGCAACCAATTATGATCATTTTAAAAGGTCAATTTGTAAATTTCAAAGAGGAATGTAGCTAAAGCTGATGTTTTGAAGAAAGTATCTAAAATATGTATTATAAGTATGATAACTAATAAAACATTATTTACAAAATTATATATACTATCAGTACATAATTATGAAAAAGAAGCCTATTTTCAATCTGCATTTATACTTTCACTATGAACATCTGTATGTTTTTAAGTTTGAATTTGAATAGGCACATTGTCATATTAAATACACATTCCAAATCTTAGAGCACTGATATAACACCTCTAATTGACCAGCATTAATAGTAATACCAGACAGTCCAGTCAGATAACTTGTCATTTTATTTTTTTATTATTCCAATTTTATCTTTTCTGCCTGGATGGCAACTTACAAATTTTGAAATTACATCCTGTTCATCTACCTTGTCTAACATGTCTCGGTGCACATGCATGACCATTGCATTGTTGAGCCTTAACTGGGTCGTGCTGGGTTGGGGGGGGGGCACTCCACATATATTGCATGGTATAGGTATGTGCCGCGGGAGAGACCCCTATTTTCAACCCTAACCCTAAACTTCCGTTCCAGTGCATCGCATTTTTATGAATATCTCGTTCCAGACCATTAAGTTTAGTTACCATGCAGATCTTACATTTTTGTCGTTCCGGAAACCCTAGTTTTTAGCTCACTTTGACATCGTCAAGTTGAGCTATTGCCATGGGTCGTCGTCCGTCGTACGTCCGTCCGCCCGTCAACATTT